TACTTTTGCGTGCATTTAATACTTACAGGTCAATATTTTTTTTCAGATACTTTCATAGAATTTCTTCTATTATCAATGAAATGAAATTATTTCAAATATGTTAGAAGAAAATCTAAACTCTGTTAAAAAAAACCTAACTCTATTATATAAAAGCTTTGTTTTAATTCGTTATTGTTCTTTTGTATAATTCGTACATTTTCTAAGATATCTCGAGGGTACATTTTATTGCACAATAAAGTTTAAGATAAATTTTTATTACCGGAAAGCAAAGAAAAGAAGACATAAGTCGCTTGCTATAACAAGCAATAGTCCATTGACCATTTCCAAGTGTTTTCCATGAATAGTAAAATCAATATGTACATACGTAGAGTTCACGAACCCTTGTCCATAGCAACCACAAAAGCTTCGATCTTCTAAACTTGATTCTCAACAATGGTTTCATGGAAATTTCTATCTGGAATGAAATATAATTACGTAAGATCCGTATTATTTATGCAAATCAATCCATGTAAATCATGTGTCCGTGAATTTTTAACATTTATTACTTTCCTCTAGTAAGAATACAATTTTTACACTATATGTATATTTCTATAGAAATTATATATAATACATAAGTATGTTTTTTACAATGTAAAATATATGTGAAATATTTTAAATTGGATAATAAATTTATTCTCCCGCCAAATTGTTTTAAAAATCATTATGCCCATCTTTAACAATCCAAAATCCCCAGATATTCCAAATATTTTGATATAATTGATGTAATATACTTTTGTGAAAAATAAGTCACATAATCGATAAAAAGTCTTGTTATTCTTTTCATTTTTCATTCCAAAATGGATCTATAATATTACAAAATTATTTTAATTGATTGCTTTAAAGACTATTATTGGTATATTTATTTATGTATTTATATCATTACAAATTATACAAATGCTTGACTATCTCTTGCATGACATCTTTCGTCTTATTTAATTAACACTGATTCCATGTCAAAATTTTAAATTAACAAAGCGAGAAAACAAGTTGTCCAAAAATGTCGATTACAAGCTTAGATGAAAATACAATAAGACTTATAACTACTACACAAATTATAACATCCATATATAGTGCTGTCAAAGAATTAGCAGAAAATGCTTTTGATGCAAATGCAAAAAACATTGAAATTAATCTCGTACGTATATAATTTTAATTTATATTGCTTTTTATGTACACTTTGTTTACTTATGTGTGTATTTCATATATAAATATAACTAATTAATATTTATGTCACAAAAAATGAATCAATTTTATATATCTATTTTAATTGTATATCATAATGTTTTTAATTATTATTAGGTTGATAATGGCACATCACTAATAGAAGTAAAAGATGATGGAGATGGTATTTCAAAAGTAGATGCTTCGTATATGGCTTTACCATCCTGTACTTCTAAGATATCAAATTTTGCAGATTTAGGTAATACTTATTGTTATGACAGTTTAATTGCTATTTTATATGAATTGAATTATTAATAATAACCATTTTTTTATCTTATTTATATAGGTATGCTAAAAACTTATGGATTTCGAGGTGAAGCATTAAATGCATTATGTAGAATCAGTAATGTTGTTATTATGACAAGAACAGATAAGGATGAGGTAGGCAGATTGTATAATATGGATAACAACGGAAATATTATGACATCAGAATTATATTCAAGGGCCAGAGGTATTAAAAGTTTATATTAATAATCGCGTAATGAGTTTTGTTTACTTTATATAATTTTTTGTGTTAGGTACAACGGTTCAAATCAAACAAATGTTTAAACAGTTACCAGTAAGAAGAAAATTAATTACTAACAAAAAAAAAGCAAACCAAGATATTAAATTAATAGAATGGCTGCTTAAAAGTTTTGGAATATGTAATTACACAGTAAGAATTAGTTATAAAGTAAACAATAATGTCATATTTATAAAACCAAATCTAGATAGTATCAAAGAAGCAGCAGAATATGTGCTTGGGAGCAAAGTTATGTGTAATATGAAGTGGATTACTTATGAAGAAACTGAGGTATATATAAAAATATGATTTTATACTACAAGAATAAGGAAATAGTCAATCAAGAATAAGGCATAGTTAATCAATTAAAATATAATAAGTAATATTGTACTATACTTTTTATGGTATTTTAGGCTACAATACAATTAATGATTCCTGATAAAGAAATACAGGATATAAACATTTGTCAAACTAATAATTACATTTTTATCAATAATCGTCCTGTTAAATATAAAGACATTGAAAAGGTATGATTTTAATTGTATAAAGATTAATTAAGCTTTGTTAGACTTTTATATTACAATTTTTTTATTGGTTACTTTCTTTACTAAACTAAACGTTACTTTCTTTATAAAATAAAATATTGCTGAAAAATAATATATCATATATATATTATATTAAAAAAAATACTTGAAAGAACTTCGTTTTTTTATTATTAGGCAGTGAATGACATAATCTCAGAATACTTTAGTCATAAACTGTCAATAAAAAAGAAACCAATATTTCTTGTACATATTTTGATGGATCCAATGGATGTTGATGTTAATTTAGAACCTAATAAAGATGCAGTACTTTTAAGAAATCAGGTATAATTTACAGATTGCATGAAAACTATAAAAATCATGGTACATATATATTAAAAACTATATATATATTGTAGCAAATAATTCTTGATGCTATAAATCGACTTTTAACAAATTTTTATGGTATACAAAGGGAGGAACAGAAAAAAAAAAATTCTGATGAAATAAGTAATTATGATCAAGATTACTCATTGATAACTAACGAAAATATTTTAAAGACAGAATTACCTGTATGTAAAAGACGCAAAATTTCACCTAATATGAATGAAAAAGAAATTAAAAAAGCTATAAACAGAGAATCAGTTCCACAAAAGTTTAATAAGAATTCAACTGAGTTATTGAAATACCAAATTATTGAAGACATAACCCACTGTAAAAACACATTAAATGATCCAATAAGTAAAGATGGGAAGAATAATGTTTCTGAGGATGAATTAGAAGTTATCGCAAATTATTTAAACACTACATCAGCTTCACATAACTCAAGTATACATAATATAGATACCAATTGTACATATCGTAATCAACTTAAACATGATTATACGTTAGTATAAATATTATATAAAAAATAGCTTTTAAGAGGATATGCATTTAAAAACGAAATTTAAATATTACATTTAGTTTTAGCAACAATCCAATATATACCAATAACTCATTATTATATAATTTGAATTCGACTGATAAGAAAGTTAACATTCATCAGACTGTAAATATATTAGATAATCAAATTGATATTTCAAATGAAAATATTAGTCAGTTACCTGTAGTAGACCTAGGTGAAGATTTTGAGTTTGATTTTATATTAAATGAAAGAAGTAATGTAAATACACATATTAATAAAACACATGATATACAAAATAATGAAAAGGATAATAACTTAAATGTAAAAGAAAAGAATTCATTGGAAACATGGAGTAAAGGACATGTAGAGGGTTTAAAGGTACATCTACTTTTTTAATTCAACAAAAAATAAATGTGTACCATTTTACAACAAATATACTTTTATGTGATAATAGGGAGGTACAGATGTAAAACCATTTATCGATTGTACAAACCATATATCATTAAGTAATAATTCTTACACTATAAAGACAACATTTGCCAAATTTGCAAATGACATCAGATCAGAGAGTAAATATATTGCATCATTTTCCTTTTTATATTATTAATATCGTATTCTTTGTAATTTGTGTACTACAAGTAATTATAATAATTATAATTAACTTTTTTTAGTAATACAAGAAAATCCTGAACTATCAGCAGTAGAAGTTGCTCGTAAAATAACAGATATTTGGAAACATTTGTCATCTCAAGAACATGGCTATTATCAAGATCTTGTCCATGAAGAGAAAGCAAATAAAGAAAAAATAAAAGAAGAAAAACTAAAACAGAAACTTGATGAAGGTGTTAAGAAAAATAAAAGACGATTTTTACGTATGCTTGAAAATATGAAAAATTTGAATACATCAAAATCAGAAAATCTAGCAATGAGAACTACAGTACCTTGGGATATGAATATAGAAAAAGTTACAAAAAATTTCCAAAATAGGTAAATTATAAACATGAGAAATTATAATTATTAAATTGAATAAATATTTTATTACATTTAATATTATTAAATATTGAATTAATATTTAATCATATAACAATTAAATTCATATTTCAAGATTAATATTTTTATATTCAGAAAAAATAACAATACTTTTATCTTTTAGATGTGATTATAATAATATTCATCATGTAGTAGGATTAATTAGTGTGAATTTATGGATCATTAAAAATAGTGCACAGCTGTGGTTACTAGATATTTCTCATATTTTGAAAGGTTTAAATAGCACTGACTTAATCTTAGATAAGGTAATTTTCTAATTGTATTATTACTGTAATTAATTGTAATTTCCTAATTGTATTATATTTTTACAGATATTAATTTAATTTATTTTGCTTCAATTTATAATTAACAACACTTTTAATTCTTGTGTACTTACAGATACAATCTCAAGATGTTGAAAAACTTTTTAAACAATGGATTTTAGAAAAAAAAAATATGTCAATGATATTTCCGATATACACATTAACATGAAATATATGCTTATCAAATTAAGATTTATATACACATATGTACATTTAACAAAAATTTAATATAATATTAGTACTTATTACATTAAGGTTTTATTTATTATAATAAAATATAAAATATTTTACTTACTGGAAAATAAATAAAATATATTTGCTTTTGTATATTATTTTTCAAAAAATATATATTTAGACAAAACATTATCAAAGAAGTGAGATAAAATTATTCTTATATGATAATTAATTATTTTTATTAGTTTTATGAATATTCTGTGTATGGATTATAATTATTGATTTCCCAATATCATTAATGTCAGCACGATCATTGCATGGCGCTTTAAGAGTTATTGACAATTCAGTACTAGTGTTAAAATATGTAAAAATATAAAATTATATTGTAGTTTTAAAAATTATATTCTTTAAATAGAAAATTAATGTAAAAGGAAGATTATATATAATAAGATTAATTAAATGTTTAATACAAATAAATAATAAGAAATTACTCTTGAAGAATATTTTAGGTTAAGTATGGTGTCGATATCATAAATTAATATCTTGAAAATATTAGAATGGATAATGTGATAACTGCAGAATGTTTGACACTTGATTTTGGACCTTTTGAAACTGTACATCGTTGGCAACGTATGCCTGAATGTGATGAATTTGTTGGTGCTAGGTAAATTCATTTTTAATAACCTATTAAAGGGTATCATTAAACTTTAATTAACAAAATAATATTTATGTAAATTAATTTTTTTGATTTTTAATTGTAAATATTCATAAAAAATTAATATTATTCTCGTATTTATTTGATTTAACAGACGTAGTAAGCATACGGTTGTGGCATACAAAGATGCTATTTATGTATTTGGTGGTGATAATGGCTCAAGAATGTTAAATGATCTGTTGCGCTTTGATGTAAAAGAAAAATCATGGGGTCGTGCATTTGCAACAGGAACTCCACCAGCACCACGTTATCATCATTCAGCAGTAGTACATGATGCTTCAATGTTTGTATTTGGTGGTTATACTGGTGATATACACTCAAATTCAAATCTTACCAATAAAAATGATCTTTTTGAATATCGTTTTTTAACTGGACAATGGACAGAATGGAAATTTATTGGGGTGTATGTTATTATAATTGTATTTTATATAATTGTATTCCAATAATTGTATTTTATAGTAATCTTTATAAATTTGATAAAAAAATATTCCATTGTAGAACACCTGTTGCGAGATCTGCACATGGTGCTGCTGTATATGACAATAAATTGTGGATTTTTGCTGGCTATGATGGAAATGCAAGACTTAATGACATGTGGACAATATCTTTGTTGGTAAGATTTATATTTAGAATGTGTTAATTATTTTCACTAGCTTGAGGAATGTATATTTTTTTAGCCTGGTGATACACGCATTTGGGAGAAAGTAGCTCAGTCTGGCGATTGCCCTCCAACTTGTTGTAACTTTCCTGTTGCTGTAGCTCGTGAATCTATGTTTGTATTTAGTGGACAAAGTGGAGCCAAAATTACCAACAGTCTTTTTCAATTTCATTTTAGAGAAAGACGGTAAATAAATGTAACATTAAATAATATAAAATATAATACTTTACATTCATAATTATTCGATTTTTATTAGTTGGACCCGTATATCAACAGAACACATTCTTCGTGGTGCACCTCCACCACCTGCACGTAGATATGGTCACACAATGGTAAGCTTTGACAGGCATCTCTATGTTTTCGGTGGAGCAGCTGATTCAACTTTACCAAATGATCTTCACTGTTACGATCTGGATACACAAACTTGGAATATAGTACTACCATCTACTGACAGTCAGGTTTGTTTAAAAATTATTTTTTATTATATTTACTATTATATCATAATTATTATTACTATTACAGGTACCATCTGGTCGTCTTTTTCATGCTGCAGCAGTGATTGGAGAAGCCATGTTTATTTTTGGTGGTACAGTTGATAACAATGTACGTTCTGGAGAAACGTACAGGTTTCAATTTTCTTCCTACCCTAAGTGCACTCTTCATGATGATTTTGGAAGACTGTTAAATGCTCGTTTATTCTGTGATGTAGAATTTGTAGTAGGTGAAGGCGATACAAAAATACCAGCACACATAGCTATGGTTGCAGCTCGTTCTCAATTTTTAAGAGCTCGCATTAGGCAAGCGCATGAAAAAAGAGAAAAACATTTGGAAGAAGTTTTAGGTTCTGCAGATGTACCAGTTAAAGATTTACCTTTATTAGAGGTATATTTTAAATAACTATCAATTTAAAAGAAAAAACCAATGTTTTTATAAAACATGACAATAAAATGTTATTTTTGTAGGTAAAATTAAAAGATGCTGTTCCAGAAGCCTTTGAAATGGTATTAAATTATATCTACACGGATCGTATTGATCCTACAAAAAGATTTGAGGATACATCAAATAGTCGATTTGATGATCCTTTAAGCAATGGCATCGTCCTTCTTATGATGGATGTTTATCGTCTTGCAGTTCAATTTAATATGAAACGTTTAGAGCAATTATGTGTGCATTATCTAGAAGCAACTATAAGTCATGCAAACGTATTGGAAGCCTTACACAATGCTGCACATTTAAAGTTATACTTCATTAAAGAATTTTGTCTTAGTTTTATAGTAAAGGAAAGCAATTACAATCAAATCGTTATGAGTCAAGAATTTGAGACATTGGATCAACCATTAATGGTAGAAATTATTAGAAGACGACAAGTGCCACAAACGAGAAACTTTTCGAAACAATACGAATCTGGTACAGGTATGTTTCATTGAAATTAATTTCGAATATTTTTCAATAATAATTTATTTTTATTAGGAACAACTTTAGAGCAAGATATGGAGGCATTTTTAATAAGTATTGGTAAAGAATTCTGTGATATAATTTTGATGTTGGATGGTGTGCCTATACCAGCACACAAAGCTGTTCTCGCAGCACGATGCAGTTATTTTGAAGGCATGTTTCGCTCTTTCATGCCTGAAAATAATATAGTTAATGTGGGTAATAAATTTACTATTAAATCTATATAATATAATTTATTTGTAATATTAATAATTTGTTACAGATACAAATTGGCGAGATGATTCCATCAGCAGAATCATTTGCTTCTTTAATGAGATACATCTATTATGCAGATGTTTCAATGCCCCCTGAAGATTCTTTGTATTTATTTACAGCTCCAGTTTTTTATGGTTTTACAAATAATCGGTTACAAGCATTTTGCAAACAAAATCTTGAAATGAATGTTACTTTTGAAAATGTTATACAAATTTTAGAAGCTGCAGATAGAATGCAAGCTAGTGACATTAAAAAGTATGCATTAAATCTTATAGTACATCATTTCAGTAAGGTAATTTATAATTATTTAAATAATGAATGTTATTATTACATATATAAATTTTATTATCCAACATATATTATTTATATTCATAAGGTTGCAAGACTACCAAGATTGAAGCAATTGAGCAGAGAATTATTGCTGGATATATTAGAAGCATTAGCAGATAAGCATAGTGAAGCAAGAACATGTCAAGATATGACAAATGATTGCTGATAAATGTAAGCGTTGAATCAGTATTTATATAATTCATATATACATTTGCTTCTAACCTTTCAAGATAAATATATGGTTTATTATAAGTAATCAGATATATTTACCTTTGTTTATTATTTTTAGGATTCTAATTAACACATTTTATATATAATATATATAAAGATTATATGTTAGTATTGTATTGTATCAAATTGTACTGCTGTTCATAATTGACAAAGATTGCACTCAAAGATAACTGTGTACAAGTAATTTTATCCATTTAAAGAATCATCATATAATTCAACAACACATTTTTATATATCTGTATAATTATATGTTTATGTCATTATAGGATAATGTATAAATTTATAATAATTTATTAATTTTTGAATATTATAAAATTATTTACAAATGATGTTCTCATATCAAATCATTATATTTCTAAAATATCAGTTATTATGATATTTATGATAAAATATTGTATAAGGTTAACATGATAGCGTCTAAAAGACAGGCACAACATCTTCGGATCCCCTGGTGCTACTCTTTTCTTCTAGATTTAATATTACAGAACCCTATATTATGTGTCAAATATCAAATATTACATGTAAAAATGCTCAATACATTTAATTACTAAAATAAATCTGTATGATTAATATATATTGCGCTAAAAATAGTATTATATTTAAGATGAAATCGACTCTTTTTTTTTAAATATATAAATTTATTCGAATTTTGTAAATATCTTATCAAGACCATCATAACCTTTCATTCCTATTTTGGTACCAGCAACATGACAAGCAAAGGTTATAGCTGTCTGTAGAATATTTTGATCAATAAATTCTGTTTGACTAAATTTTGAATTTTCAATATCATGTTTCTTTGACTGACTTTTTTTAACAGGACTGTTTGAAGAACCTTTGTCTTTATTTTTAGCAGAAATTTTTACTTTGTTCAAATAATGTATAACCCCTGCATTAAATGTATCCCCAGCACCAAGACTGTCTATTATTTTTTGTGGTGGAAAAGCTGGTGATTGTACTGTAACTCCATCCGAAATACATGCCATTGCACCTCTATCACTCCAAGCACAAATAATAATTGTTCTAAAAAAATATGTTAAAAGATACATACTATATTTCATATAATTATAAATTCAATTTTTTAGTTCTTATACCCTGGTTTAGTTTTTGCACTGATATTTTTCAATGTTTCACTCATATTGTTATATCCTCTACTTCTTGCAAAGTCTTTTGATATAAATACTATATCGACATAAGATAATAAATCTAATAATTCAGGTATAGATTTTTCTATCTCCAAACTAATAGTAATAGTCATATTCCATTTATTATTTTTTTCTATATTTTGCTTGTCTGATAATCTCATAGACTTATTGTAGTTTTCTATATTTTGCATCATAGATAATATTTCTGTTATATTTCTGCCCTGAAGAAAAATAGTGATTAAAACTATTAAAAATATGGATCAAAGTTAATTATGTTCCTACTTCAAAATGAATCCAACTATAGTTCTGCAATTTCAGTTGCATAAAATCTTTTAATGTCAATTCTGGTAGATCCGGATTATAATGTAAAATTGTACGAGTTCCAGTACTTAAACTTAGTATAACTGTTGATACAGGACATCCAACACCTTTGATCTCGGGACAATGTGAAAAATCAATATTATATTTTTTCATGTCATTTTGTAAGAAATTAGTATGTTCTTCTGCACTAAATACTCCTAAGAATTCACATAAATTTCCTAACAAAGAAAGAACAGTGCATGTATTTGAACTATTTCCACCTCTTTGCTGTTTATATTCAACAGACCTAAAAACTTTTATTCGATCAGTAATAACAAAATTTACGAATATTTTGTTGTGTTGCAAATTAACACATACTTTTGTTCACAATCCTCAAGAGGATAATATTTACATGTTTGTACTATATCAACACAGCTTAATCCAACAGTTAAAATTTTTGTATTACTGAACTCCATTGAAAAAGACGTACCAATAATCTTCCTGTAGAAATTTGCAATTATATTGCTATAACACGAACCTTAAATAATAAAATAGTAAATACAAAATCTATCAAATCATCATCATTAAAGATGATAAACAAGTAAAAGTTCGTATTTTTCTAATCTTTCCAAATTATGTTTAATTTATATATTCAGATAAATCGCTCAGCATAATATTTCATAAAAATAAATACTATTTTTTTGCATTATCTGAATATATTATGTAAATATGGTGCAAATAAATCAGTGAATATTAGTAGAATCACTTTATCATGTAATTACGACATGAGTGATAAAAATATGACTTAATGTACGATAATATTAAGTACTTATATAGAATTTTAAATTCTTAAAATTATATTTTTTAGATAAAATATTTTTACAATATTAATAAAATAATTTAGCAATATTTACATATAAATTAACTTTGATTATAATAAATACACATTAATATTTTATTTAATTGTATATGTATATAATATGTTATATAATATGTTATGATATAAATATGTTATAATGTGCTATAATAATATGTGGATAAGAATATGTGTTATTTAATATAATAAATTATTCATTGTAATGATGAAGAAAATATTCTCAATTATGCGATTGGAAAGTTAAATGAAATAGTCTTTTATGTATTGGCTGTTAATTATCTCAAGTATCTGAGATTTTAGTACCAGAAACAATTTCATTGGTTGCTATTGCGTAAAGAGGAATATTTGTTCGATTTTACAAGATTAAATTATTCGTTAAATAATAAGTTATAATTTATTTTAAATTTAGATTATATATTAAGTTTTTATTTTAAATGAATGGAAAAATATAATTTTTTCTTTCTTTACAATTAGAGGAAAAAATTAATAAAATCACACAACCTAGTTTATTTTAGGACCATCTAGACTACCAAATATTTTTTCCGACATATTGCTGATGATTACTACAATCATGCGTACCATACATACGTACATATATGTAGGGTAATAACTCGACTGTATTCTATATTTGTTTCATATAAAACAATAGTTTTCTTTCGATTGTATTGAATCATTTATATAAATTATTTGAATTAGAAAATTTATTTGTATTTAATAATATGTGGGCAGACACTATTTTAATTGTTTTCATTAGTGTATGTACAGCATTATTAGGTGAAGGTAACTTTAAACCATACAATAAATTTTAATTTTTCAAATGTTATAATTGAAGTAGTTTATTTGATTTAGTTATGATCATAAATATTATTTTTGCTCTTATATTTCCAGGATTAACATGGTTGATGGTGTATAGAACTGAAAAATATCAGAAATTAAAAGCAGAAGTAGAAAAACAGAGTAAAAAATGTATGATGTCAAATTGTTTAATATAATAAAAATATATGATTTTTAATGTTATAATATAACCTTTATCTTATTTTTAGTGGAAAAAAGAAAAGAAGCTCATGGCGATTCATTAGATAAACAACAAAAAAAGAAAATAGAACGTGAAGAAGAAAGGCTAAAAAATAATAATAGAGATTTATCGCTTGTAAAAATGAAATCTATGTTTGCAATTGGATTTGCATTTACTGCCCTTTTGAGTATGTTTAATAGTATATTTGATGGCAGAGTAGTAGCAAAATTGCCATTTGTACCAATAAGTTGGATACAAGGTTTATCACATAGGAATCTACCAGGCGATGATTATACAGAGTGTTCTTTTATATTTCTGTATATACTTTGTACCATGAGCATTAGACAAGTATGTATAAACAGTTGTATAAGTACATCTAATGTCAAATATGTTTAACATTTATATTTTAATTTTAGAATATTCAAAAAATGCTCGGCTTTGCTCCTTCAAGAACAGCTAGCAAACAAAGTGGTAGTATCTTCGGACCGCCACCTCAACAATTTAAATAATTTTAAATTATAAAAAAATAAATACATTTGTATATTATTTGGTATTAGTTATTTCAAACTATTTCAGCACATTAAGACTATTCAAGCATAATATTAATAATTATAATAATCAAATTTTACATTATAGACTAAGTGTATAGTATATATACAAAAGTACTTACCATACTATTAAAACTGACTTATCAAAACATTAATTACAATGTTATTAAGAAGATACAATTGATTATTTAATGTAATTTAGCTGTAGAAAACACAAAAAAGAAAAATATCTGCTATTACATTATTTATCAATATTTAGTTATATTCAATATTAAAAAGAAAAATTGTTTACGATCATTGCAACGTTATATTATAAATATTTCTAAATGTACATATAATAAGATTAAATTATTTGATCATGTAATAGTATCTGAATTAATTGCCTTAATGCTAGAATAGTTTAAAATAAATGTAACCAATATTTAAATAAAGTCCAAGTTATGTAAAAATAAAAATTACTTTCTGAATGAATAATAATATTTTATTTTAGTTTATTGTTATTATTTATTGCATTTATTGTTAATTTTATAATTTTTAACGTGGAATTTTGAAAAGTTTATTAAAAATTTTAATTTAAAATATCAACGTAATAATTGGTTATCTTTTGCCGCTTAATTGGTAATATCCAATCACTGCAAACATATCTCTATTTTTCTGCTAATAGTAAGGATTCAGTATAATTCTCAAGATGGCAGAAACAGCGAATTTTTAGTAGACTGAGAACTACGTTGTTGTTTATTTATCATATATATGATACAATATATAAGTAACGTTATAATCTACGAAAAAATATTTTTTTGTAAATATAAGCAAAAATGTTTTACTTTTAAACAATATAGTCTGTGCAACATTAGTGTCCTTATGTGTATTTTTCTTTGCAATCTTAGAAAATAATTTTTTTACATCAAAATTTTAGAAAAAACTTTTTTTTATTTTCGAATTATTTACAAATAAGATGGATCCACGAATACATAGGAGATTAGAGTCGGAAAAAGGGCCAGGCGATTTGGTTAGTAGTATAACCTCACATTTTAATTCAGTATTGAATATATATACGTATGTTGACAATTGTATACATTATTATACTTAAATTATTGTATTATTATTATACTTGGATTCAATATTATATAGATTTTTATGAATTAGACTATTTATATATTATTTATAATATTGATATTTTGCACTATAAGAAAAATAAAATTTTATTGTAGTTATATAGTTATATAGTTTATAATTATGTTTCAAAACTATTTTTTGCAGTACAAGATGTATGTTTATTTTTATCTTTGCCAAATTCACATAATATATATTATTATATTACTTTTTATTGAGTTATTTGGTTCATTGTATTTTAATGGAATTTATAATATTATCAACATATAATAGTAAACAAAATGTTAGCAACTTTACTTGGTGAATATACTATTAAGTGATGAAATAATAATCTAACTTATAAAAAATCTATGAATTTTCAGATTGTTGAATGGTTAAATGAAGCTTCTACGTGCCTTGCTATAGATGTAAAAGTTTCTAATTTATGTAAAGTCCAAGAAATTTTATTTAACAAGGAACCACAATTACTTCCATTATATTTGGATGAAACCATACAATTTTCTTTAGATAGAATTGCTGAGGTTAGAAAGACAGTTACAGGGTTTATTGAGGAAGCAGGGTAATTGTTATTGCTATTTTTTTTATAATATTTTGTTAGATATATTTTTATTAAATTAATTGATAACTAGCTTTTATATTATATATCTACATATCTAAGACAAATACTAAATATAAATTATAGGGTAAAACAACCAGAAACAATACCACGAATAGTTCCAGTATTATTAAGACTTGTCTCTGATAAAGCACCTTTAGTAGCTAAAAGAGCTCTTCGAGCTAGTGGGAGAATTCTCAGAGCAGCTTTAAAATGGATTTCTTATGCAGCCGTAATAACACCAGAAATGGAAATGGCATGGACTCAACTTAGTTCTCTAAAAGTTCAAATTATTAATATGATAGATAGTGATAATGATGGGTAAATTCTGAATAGATATAAGTAAGGATACAAATAAATTTATAAAGTTATAATTAAAAAATATTGCATTACAGCATTAGGACACAAGCAGTAAAATTTTTGGAGGGAGTTGTTTTGATTCAAACTTATCCAGATGCAGATGCTCCGAAAAAACCAGATGATTTCTCTCTTGAAGATATTCCATTAACATTAAAAATAGCTCGTAGACGAAAATTAGAAGAAGAAGCAAATCATGTAATGGATTTACTTATTAAATTTCATGGATCCCCACATGTCAGTAGTGTCAATTTAATGACATGTATGGGTTCTTTGGCCTTAATTGCTAAAATTAGACCACAATTTATGTCTAGTGTAATTCAAGGTACTTGAATATGTTGATTTAATAAAGTAATAAAAATAAGACTAGGAAAAAAAAATATAAAGTAAATTAGGCATATTTTATCAGCTTTACAGAAATTACAACATGATTTACCTCCTACCTTGTCTGATTCTCAAGTCACAAGTGTACAGAAGCAATTAAAACTTACTTTGCTTGGATTAATGAAACATCCATCTGGTATAGAATTTGCTTCAACTATTGCTAAGTTATTAGCTCAGCTTGGTGCCAAAGAACAGGAAATTATCAAAGCTTATCCTAAGCCAGAAGATGTCAGACGCATTAAAAAACGTCAACAAGTAAATTAAATTTTAATTGAATATAATATTTAAATTAATATAATATTTAAACATTTTCCTATTGTTATTTTTACATAGGAAGCTGTAGCAATTGCTGCTAAGCGTGCAAAATTTGATACTCCTTTAATACTTGAAGAAACTGAAGCAGTAGCAAGTCCAATTCCAGTACCAAAATTACCTGAATTAATTGAACTCTCTGAAAGTTTTATAGCAGAAAGATTAAGTGTAGAAATAGCCACAGAATTAGTAATGGACAGTATGGCATGTACATTTTTATGTAACAAAATATATTATAATGTATTCAATATAAAGTAATTGAAATATTATAATGTATTCAATATTTTTAATAGGCATGGGTTCCAGATACTATGACAACTATTTTTCAAAGAGAATATCAACCAACTTCAACAACAGATATAAATGTACAATGTCAAACGATTGCAAAACTTTTAGCTGCACAAATTAAACAAGCAAAGGCAAAAAAAAGTAAAAAAGATGCCAAAGATGAGGATGCTGTAATGGAAGATTTGATAAAAAATCCAACCATTAGCGTAGCCGAAGCAAAACGAGAACGAAAACGTGAAAAAGATAGAGAAAAGGAAAAAGAGGCAAAAGCATCATTAGAAGCACATGAAAAATCGCTTGCCAAAGCAAGGAATCGTTTGAAATCTTTAAAATTATCAGAAGTTACAAAACCACTTACTAAAGAAGGAAAGGAAACGATGCTATTAATGGCAGTTAACAGAATTCTGATTGCAGAAAAAGTTGCAGTTCTTGGTGGTGTCTCTGCTGTAAGGTATAATAATTAATAATATAAATATGAAGAAATTAATATTAAGAACAAATAAAAAGTATCAAAAGTAAAACAATACGATATATAACAAAATATTAATGTTGTAGGTCAAAAATCTTAACAACTTTAGCAGCAACTTTTAATCCATATATTAAAGAAGCAGTACTACATTATATTACAGATGATATGAGAAATCGTCTAGATTTAGCCTTAGGCTGGTTGTATGAAGAATATGCCTTATTACAAGGTTTTCAAAGGCGAACAACATTAAGTACAAAACCACAAGAAGCACCACATCAAGCCTACAATTTCTTGTTATGTACTTTAGTTTCTGCAATAGACTTAATTCAAGGAAAAGATCGCGACACTTTATTATATAGGTAATATTTGTTTACTTATTATATGCTAATTTTGTTATGTTATATAATATTATATTTATCTATTAAAATCGAACATAATCATAAAATCAATATCGTAATAGATTGTATTTAGAAGCTCCTTTAATTACGGAAGATGCAGTGGAGGCTTTGAAGATGGTTTCTTCAGACGAAACAAGAGGTCTTGCACCATTGCAACTATTAAAAGAAATGGTTATCAGAAGACCTACAAAGCAATTAGTTTTTTTGAATGTTCTGTTATGTCATACAGGACACGAAAATAACGCGGTATGTTGTTTTTATAATATTACTATAAATATTTTATGATATTATTTTATGATACTACTATAAAATGTAGCGTTATTAGTTGATTTATTTCTAGAAGTTATATTATATGATATTATTTGTTTTAATAGATAAGAGAGGCAGCAATACAATTGGTTTGTCAATTATATGGCCGACCCGAATTAAGCAAACTTATAGAAGAATATGCAGTTCTTTATTTAGGCTTTTTACGTTTGCAAACTCCTCCTGAAATAGTTTTTGGTCAAGATAGAGGAAGACCTCAAATAGAAAACCAATGGACAGAATCCACTACTAGAGCTTGCCTAGGATTATATCTTGCTTTATTAAGTGAACATCAAGATCTTATTCATGAGTTAGTTCTCTCATGTTTTCTAAAATGTTTATATGAGATCAAAATATAAAATGTAATATTTATTCCATTAGGTTAGCAAGAGTTTATACATCAATGGGAGCTGATGTAAAACGCATGGTTCTCAGATTAGTTGAAGGACCTGTAAGGTCGTTAGGAATGGGTAGTCCACAATTACTTGCACTTGTTGAAAATTGTCCAAAAGGTGCAGAAACTTTGGTCACTAGAATTATTCATATCCTTACAGAAAAATGTGAGTAAATTGAAAGTTTGATCTACCTCATAATGATTTATAATATTATAATATATTATTTTATATGCAGCTATTCCAAGTGCGGAATTAGTAGCAAGAGTACGAGAATTATATCAGACAAGAGTATCAGATGTAAGATTTCTAATACCTGTTTTAAATGGCTTGACCAAAAAAGAAGTTATTGCTGCTCTTCCCAAGTTAATAAAATTGAATCCTATTGTTGTTAAAGAAGTAAATATCTTTTTCTCGAAGTTAATTCATGAATAATTTTTAGTCAATGCTAGTATATCAAATGTATAAAATTTATCTGTATTTGTATAGGTATTTAATAGACTTCTAGGTACACACAACAATGATAGTGGTGTACCACATACATCTCCAATTACGCCTGCAGAATTATTGATAGCTTTACACAATATTGATCCTAGCAAAGCAGAATTGAAAACTATTATAAAAGGTTTATTATTTTATTAATTCATTATATTAGTTAAAATAATTAATATTTTCTTCTTTATTTAATCATAAATTAAATTACTTGACAGCAACTTCTTTATGCTTTGCGGAAAATCAAGTTTACACACAAGAAACTGTTGCCGTCGTAATACAACATCTAATGGAAATGACGCCCTTACCTACGCTATTAATGCGTACTGTTATACAGAGTTTAGCTCTTTATCCTAGACTTAGTGGATTTGTTATGAATATTCTTCAGCGTTTGATACTTAAACAAGTATGGAAACAACCCAAAGTTTGGGAAGGTTTCGTTAAATGCTGTGAACGTACAAAGCCACAAAGTTTTGCTGTTATTTTACAGTTACCTCCAGCACAATTAGCTGAAGCATTAAAAATGGCTCCAAATTTAAGAGCACCTTTGCTAGCTCATGTTGAAGCATTTGCTGAAAATCAGGTAATTTTTAGTAATTTGCATATAATACTAATATTTTCTTTTATATCTATTAGTATTTATTATTAATTATATATATATTACAGAAGGCACACATTCCACAATCCATAATGGACGTTATACAAGGCAAATCACTATGTGATATGCATGATGAATTTGATATTGTAAATATTTTTTTATTATAACTATAGAAATTTCTGATACATTTTACTTTAATATTTATTTAATTTAATAATTCAAAATAGCTTGATTTACTATAAAAATAATTATTATAATAATTTAAATATTTTATATTTTAAATTTTATTTACAGGCACCTCCTGGTGATTATCCATCCGAACAAAAAACAGATACAACAGAAACAGATTTATCAGAACCAGCTCCTCCTGGTTTAGACTAGCATAAATTTATTTCAATTTTAGGATCTGAAACATCCTCATTTAAGTATCTCAATTTTAATGAATTCTCATTATGAACTATAATTTATTTTCATCGTAAATACTTCAAATATGATATCTTTTTATAATATGATACCAATACTCTTTTATTCAGGAAGAGTTTCATAATTGTTTCATAATAGACCGTATAAATTTATCTGTCAAAAAAAATGCACTTTATTTGTGTTGATAATATTGTGCTATGTTGATATTTTACGTACGTAAAATACTTAATATTTTATAAAATTTTTCATATTTATCATACATATATGACATAAAACAAATTGATGTATATTACTTAGTAGATGACGTCTATTAATAAGAACATACTCTTGGAAAAGTGCTCTATATCTTTTATAGACAACGTCCGTATATAAATATAATACTAGAAAAGTTGAAATTCGTAATCATACCACTGTAATATGAAAGTTATTTTATAAAAACTACAAATTAGAAGAATATAAATTTTATGAAGTTTTTTCAGAGAGTTTATTTACTTTTGTAAGTAATTTAAAGAGGTTTCATATTATTAACACTATTTTTGATTGCAGACACTATAAATAATTTATCCTTTTTATAATCGTACTTTTGATATATATATTCGTTTTAATTTATTTTTTTAATTTATCTTATTAAACACATTATTCGAAAGGCTTTCTTTCATACCGTTTGTTTTAGACAAATGAAAAAAAAACAGTCATTATTTTCAAATTCTTATGTTAAAATGTATATTATGTTTATCCTTTTATTTTTTAATAAGAATACATGAGAGTTCCTACATAAAAACTATTAATTATAACTAGTATAATTGCACTTGTTTGATCTTACTGTTTTTTTAGTAATAATCAGTATATAATTTTTTAATGTTTTAATGCTATTTTTTTTTAATAAATTAAATATACGAAAGTTAAAGCAAATACGAATTTCAAAGTAATTAAAATATTGTAAAATTTATAAAATCGAATTGAAAATTGAAAAAGATAAAGAAAAAGAAATAAAATTTTTTATATAAAATATATTTCTTAGGTTCATTTTTTCAATATTATTATTTTATTTTTAATAAAATTTAATTTATTAATAAACAAAAACCGATTACTATCATCTAAACAGTCTTTATTATTTTTTGCAATAAACGAATATGAAACTAGATTAAGAGAACCAGCTCCAATAACCTTGACATGTTATCAAGGTCACTGTCTTAAGAAACAATCTAAGTCTCAATTTAGCTGAATCGTAATTATAAATTTTAAACTGCAGCAATAAATACTACAAGCAAATTCGAGGACATTGAAGACGGAGAAAATCTTGTAAATTAAAAATGAGCTTATTTCATGGTACTTTGTTCGCGAAAGACAATATTTTATGGATAGCCTTTTATCTTTTTATTATTTTATCTCTTCATTCATTACTATCAACAGCTACTAATACAATAAGTTATTAACTAACAATAACAAATTGATGGACATAGAATCGTTGTTAAAATAGACGAAGCAAAATTAGGAAAAAAGAAAATATAATAAAGGTTATGTTCTTAAAGAACAACAGGTTTTCGGAAGAATAAAGTAAGGTAGTGACAAATTATTTATTGTTTCCGTATATGATCCTCAAGGTATACTTTAATTCTTCATATTCAAGTAATACTTATAACTTGCTACATAGTGTTAAGATTCATTATTTATTGTTAGAGAATATATATAGCGAAAAATAATTTACCTTACGAACACAAATGTTATCGCAAAAAAAATTTAATTGAAACCATTATAAACATCCAGATATAAAACATAAAACACTTGTGGCGTGAAATGAGAGCGACAATATCATATTATGGTACATGTATATACATAACATTATAAAATATTGTAAAATTTATATTTAAAAAATATGATAAGTTCAACGGACATATAAATGATTTTATTGAATTAGTAATAACCATATTCATTATAACAGATATTTATAATAAAAGTTTTTCTATTATATCATAAAAATGTATTATTAATTTTTGAATGCAATTCTCGTCCCGTTTCGAGTAAAAGTCATAAATAAAATAAATATTCGAAAGTTTTCCTCGAAATTCGATAATTTCTCAAGGTAATATTTTGACGTATATGTATGATATATTTTTCATCTCTAGGATATAAATTGCATTAAGATTGCATCTTTTTCGTATATAGAGAGAAGTGAAGCCTCACCCATGCTCAATCATTCAATTTATTACATATAAATTAATGAATATTAAGAGTATATTTTATAAACTGTACATAGTATTTGAAAATTATACAAAAATCATGTAAATTCTTTAGTTAATAAACTTTTGATAAACAACGAATGGCTAAGATCTTTTGATTGTTACTCAGAATAGTTATCTTGACAATATGTCAAGGCTAAGATTATTCAGATTGGTTTCCCTAATCTAAAATGTTACTTCTAAATGAATATAAATTCAACAATATATTTATGATTTATGTAAAATTAAAACAATAGAATGATGAAATATATCTATAACCTATTCGTTTACATTGACAGTAAAAAAACAAATAAAATGTCATGATATGTTGCAACAATATAGTCAATATTCTTATATCATCCAAAATCAACTCCAGTATCTAATAGGTCTCTCAACATGAAAGAAGCCTTCTTGGGTAACATTCTATAAATAAAAACATAACATTTTTTTAATACATATATATGAACCGTTCATAGGTCAAAGCAATTTATTCCACTTTTAGAATTTTGTAAATTTTAGTGCCAAAGAATTTCATTGATACTTAACTTTTTATACTTAATATAATTCCTTAATAATGTGTACAACTTTATCAATTAGCTCTACTTATTGTTTTGTGAAGTTAATCAATTTGGCAAAAAAGCAACTCATATAAAAATAATATTAGTATATAATATTAAAATTTTACTATATGATATTAAATAATATATATAAAAAAGAAATATATATATATAATGAATATTCACAAGTTACCTAAGTAAAAATCCAATATATAATAGATATCCTGGTACACTAAATTCCGTATAATTTTTACGAACGCCATCCAAAATTTTTTTGGCTGCTTCTGAAGCAACCATTGTTCCGAAATAACTAGGTATTCTGTAATAGAAAGAAAAGAAAATTATATATCTTTTAAAATCTATTTTTCATTAGAGTATCAAAATAATGTAAAATTAAAAACAAACATACCTAAATCGAATATCTTTAACTAGTTCTGCTCTAACAATGAATGGATATACATGAACTAAGGTAATAATAATATTACTATTAGAGTGCCTTAATTCTGTATGTAAAGATTCTGCTAAACCTTGAACTGCAAATTGTGCAGCAGATAAAGGAACATTTCCTTTACCACCTGTAAAACCAGAAAATTCTACTACAGATGACAATTTATTATACAAATTTTTATACAAATTTTATAAATATAATGTCTGTTATACCTGAAAGTCCTGCTACGGAAGACAATGTTACAATGTGTCCTCGGCCTGCTCGTTGCATACTTGGCAACACTGAATCTAATAACTAAAATATGAATTATACAATTTTTTAATTATATTATATATAATAATTTAACTTATAGAATATAATATCTATATAAACAATGAATCAAGTATAGTTATTGTTATTTACCCAAAAATGACTAAGAACTGAAACATTAATGGTTTTTCTTATTTCTGGTGGTTCTCTTATTAAAGCATGTGAGCTAGGAAAGCCACAACAATGAAACAGCATTGTGATTTCACCTATTTCTAAGATAATTTTAGTTACTGTAGCAGTTACCTGTAAAAGTATATGTATTGTAAAGCCAAAGTTTAACCATAAATGCATTATTATCTATAGAAAATCTTATGTACTTGATCTTCGTTTGTCACATCACAAATATATGGTTTTGCATTGCCTGATAGTTTTATAACGCATTGTACAGTGGCATTACAATTTTCTGGATTGATATCGACACAAGCAATAATCACACCTAATTGACTTAATTGAACAGCTATTTCTTTACCTATTCCTCTTCCAGCTCCAATAACCTAAATTATTAGACATGATATTTACCATTGTAATCTTGTATAAATTTATAAATATCTGTTATAAATGATAGATATTTAGAAGCATATTTTATAAATATTACCATAGCTACTTCTCCATTGAGGCTTTTTAATGATGGTGGATTAAAAGTTCGATAAAAAGCAATCAACATTGAACAACAAATCTCCATTAATAGAATTATGAGATCTAATATAAGAACAAGCAATGAGTATAATCTGAGGAACATATTTGTTGTAGCTTTTACACTTTTCCTGTAAATGTAAAATTTTTATTATTTCATGTTGAATTGAAATTTTATTTGTAAATATTTTTATATTTATAAATATATTTTATTTAAGATTTAGTATAATGTGAAATGAAATTAAAGTTATATTCATTATATCGAAAACTATACCCTATATAGAAGAATTAATTTAATTTCATTTTGATAACATATCACTTTATGAATTAACTCTTCACTATTATATCGCGATTATTTAAGTTTGAAATCTTTTTATTTAAATCATACATAACCTGAATATTATGATAAGTAGAAATAATTATTGATATGATAATTTGTTGTGCTTGTTACACGTATCAATTTCTAATATATATGAATAAATGGTAATGACTGATATGTGTTTGATTATATGTTAAATATACAAATAAATATAATAAATTAAATAGCATATGAACCATTTCAGTTAGTCAATGGAATATACATTCGTCTTTATTATATATATAATCACTGACAATATGTAATATATACTATCTGATAGGATCAATTAATATTACTTACTTTTATTATGCGTTTTGAATAATCAAAATTAATTATTAAATTTATAATACTTATTTATTTGTAAGCTGGTTTAAATTATTATTTAATTTAATATTGTAATTTCGTTGTTTTATTCTGAATGTTATATTTGTTTTATAAGGACATTGAATTAAAATAAAAATTTTCTGGTGAGTAATAATTGTAAACACATTTTTTTCAGAATTCAAACAAAGCGCGGCAATATGTTCAAATTTAAGAATTAATCATATGTAACCAAGCAACTAAATAGTTTGTATAATAAGTGAATTTTTCTATTCGTTTACTGTTATCTCAAGTTTGATTTTTGATATCAGACGTGAAGTACTTTATATAAATATAATTTTCTGAATATTTTTCAAAAGTTTCTATATAACATTAAATTATATTGTCTCTTTTATGAGAATGGTATCAATAGAATTAGAAGAAAATGAAGTAATTACAAACCTTATTCTTGGCCCTCCAATAGAGTATGCGAAACGAAAGAGGTAGCATTAAAAACATTATGTAAATAGAGAATTAAAAAATATTTTTTTTTTTTACGTTTCATATTATTATCTTGCATATAAAGTATGTTTTTCTTAGAACTTCCCCACATTTACATTTCACTATTTATGTTTCTGTAACTGTTTAAAATATGTCATATAATATTAATATAACAGTTTTAGAATAATTATTCTTTTTTTTTTTGAAGATATGTTTCTAAATATAAGGAATGTATAAAAGCAGAAATTAAGAAAGAAAAATATGCACATCGTACATTTGGTCCACCAAAAGTACTGTTACAATTACCATCTCAATATTTGAAAAAAAGAAGCCGGAAAGAATATCGCAAAACGGGTATAGAACATGTACATATTCGTAATCCAGAATATCAACAAAAGTTACCATCATGGGTCCCAATAAAAATGAAAATTAAAGAAAAATGTGGAGAGTTGCCTATAGATCCTGTAAAATTAGGGCATATCAATTTTAAAAAACAGAATATTATTGATGTTAAAAAATTTCATCCCCATAAACTTAAAGAACGATATGTAGATACACGGTATGGAGACTCTCATGATCTAAAATCTAGTGGATTATATCCTATTTATATACATAGAAAGGTATCTTGTTTATATAAGCATGCAATTTATAAATAATTAAACATTTTCTTCTTTTCTTATTAAAATTTGTTCATTTTTAGGGCTTTGGAAAACTTCCAAAAATTATGAAGAAAATAAAATATGAAGTAATGAATAAGGAATTAAAAGAAGATAAATCAAAAAATGATAAACGTATTGATGAACTTAAATACCACTGCATCTCTGAAGAAGAAAGAAAAGAACTTTTAGATGTATGAATATATCAGGATTATTGACATTGAAAATATTTCTAAATATGTTAATAATTTTATTTTTATTTTAATAGGGACTGAAAAAAAGGTGGGATGAAATAATGAAAGAATTTCAGTGTTTACCATTTATAATTGATACTCCACCAAAGGTACAGAGAAAGGCAAAACTAGAACATGAATTACGGCAACTTGAGAAAGATATTGCAACTCTTGAAAGACATTCTTACATATGTGTTAGTAATGATAATGAAAACGAATGAAAAAAAAAAAAAAAAAAAAAAAAAAAAAAAAAAAAAAAAAAAAAAAAAAGTACACTTGTAAGTATTCAAAAATAAGACCTTGAAAGGCTACATCATTGATCATATTTTTAACTATATGAAAAATATTTATTACATACATTTATTGAAATTTATTAATAAGTGAAGCAATGATAGATAATGATCAGAAGAGATTAAATAAAATAAACAAATATTGATAAATATAAGTTTTCTTTATTTTATTAATACTTTTACATAATAATGTTCAGAACTCTCTCCAAGTTTCAGTGATACTACAAGACTCATCTTTATCATAATTAACAACTACTGAATAAGATTGTGCCTCAGTTTGATGTTCTTCTGTATAAGAAAAGTTTTCAGATATTTCAGAATCTTGATTTTGTGTTAATTCTACTAAGGACACTTGTGGTTTTGATAAATTTCTTGTATATAATTCTGAATTTTGTATATCTAATACACGACTGTCATATAAAACAGGTATATTACAAAACAGACATCGTACTTCTTCATATTCTTCGTCTAAGCAGAGGTGATAAAGTTGCCCACATATTGGGCAAGATCGATATTGAACTGTAGTAATTTGAAGAAGGGTTAAAGCACATCTTGGTAACTTATGTCCTGATGGACATTTTGTAGTATTCCAGGATAAATCATTAATAATTTGTCCACATAGATTACATGATTCCACTTTTAATTTGAAATGAGACGTTTTATTTAACGCTTGGCGCACGTATTGTGTTGTAACTGTTTCTTCTTCTGTATCTTCACCAGCAAGATATATTTCTAAGTACATTCTTAATAGACTTGCAGACAATTCTTGATCTTTTGATAAATGTTTTTTATCTGTTAAACGATTGAGATATGCACATGCACAATGTACAAAAATTAGTGGTTGAGCTTCTGCTATTTCACCTATATTTTCAATTCTTTGAATCATTTTTTTTTTTGTTAATACTTCAGTTATAAGTGATAGCCACATTGATATCCTTAATTCGTATAATTTAAGTGATTCTAAATTTTGTGACATCTTAGGTAATACAATCATTGGATCGGAAACTTTTGCAGCTTTGAGTCTAATTAATTCGAAACAATCCCAAGGAAAGTTAGAATTTATATCTTTATAATTTTTTATTATATTAATTGGATCCCATTCTTCTCCATCTAAGGATAATATGTATAATACGCTTGGTTCTCTTGTAATTAAATGATCGTATGTACTATTAGGACTGGTTATACAAACTAGCATAGTACGATTAGGAGAACAGGCAAGACCTAAATATTGAACACGTGTCTGAGGTAACTTATGTTTGATTGAAATGCTTTTTAAGTTATTTTCTTGTGTATCAAAAGCATACATCATACCATTTTGTGTTGTAATTAAAATACATTCAGATGCAATAACAGAGATTCCTAAAAGTAAATTTGAAATTCTTTAAATTACTTAGCAAATTAAAATTTTTATTTAAATTTAAGACATTTAATTATACATGCATATATATATGTATATATACCTGAAATAGTAAATCCTTCTATTTGTAAATAATGTGTATACATTAATTTTCCCGTTATAGTCAACCCAAATAATAAAAGAAAGAAACCTTTACAAGCAATAAATTGTATTCTATTTTCATTCTGTGAAACCATAAGTAAAGAATTGACTGAGACACGATCTGGATATGTATAGTATTTTTCTATCGATGTATTCTCAAAACATTTATTATTATTGCTATACAGGATACCTTGTATCTGACCATTACAACATCCAATAATAATTAAGTATGTATTGGGTTTTATAGTACACCACAATAATACATTAATTTTTGTGTTTATATTTAATTTTATTCTAGATATTATAATTGGTTTCATATTTTTACTGGAATCGGATACTTTATGTATTTTCCAAATCACTATGTCTGAACTACGAAAAGCAGTTACAAAGTATGCATAGTAAGTGTCTTTTAATTTAAATAATTCACTCCATGTCATTGCACAAGCTTGTAATTGTCTAAGATTTTCTTGTATCTTTGTAAAACGTGATTCTTCATTTTTACAACTATCAAAATTAGATTTAATATTATCTTCAACAGTTTGTAACCATATAGATGAAATATCACATATAGAAAACCAATTTCTTAATACTTGATGTAAAAGTTCAACAGCACCAACAGAAGTTATAATTGCAAGCATGCACTTACTGGGATGGATTAAATTTTCTGGTGACCAGGATACACGAACTATTTTTGGTAATATATTGGTTGCATCATCGATCTTAGGTACTAAAGCAGCTTCCATTAAGAGTGAATATACTTCTCTGCGTTTTATATTCCATGACAACGAAGTTATTTCATTTATAAATGCATATGCGGGCAAAATATCAGAAGCATATATAAAAGATCGTGAAAATTTAATATTTGGCTGAGGATTCATCGGAGAAGGTATTAATTCCTAAAAGTATGTAATAAATCAATGAAATTTCAACATATATTTTCCTTTAATATAATATAATATATATATATATATATAAATATATAATTATTTAATATAATGTAATATAATGTATATACAAACATTTTCAGCAATATTGTAGATTAAAATAATACATTCAAAATAAGACACACACAAATATATATATTATATTATATTATTAAATATTTGTAATTGTATTTACTTACAAATACATGAATACCTTTTTCTGTAATAACACAAATACCATTATTTGATGTCCATTGTACTGCAAATAATGTTGTAACCAATGGAGAAAACGTTATATTATAAACTTCTTCTAGCGATATCATATTTAAAAAGTTATAATTTTTTTAATTAAATAAATATATATTACTATTTATTTAATTCAACAAATAATTCTAATACAATAGTACGCTAGTTAAGACATTCAAGAAATGAATTTTGACTGAATTACATTCAGCATTTATATGAAAAATACATGTATATTTTTCAGAGACAAAATGTATTTTTTAATCAGGTTATGACATTGTAAAAAATAGTGCTCAAACTGTATCTCACAAACAAACAGTTTCGAAATATCGTTTAACAAACAATATCGATATCGTGTAGTCGATAGTCACAATGGTGGAAGAAACGACTTAACGATGACTTCATATCTTCATCCTTATATATATATAAGGATATATATATATATATATATATATACATACATATATATATAGTGACAAGCAAATGCAACTTTCTGTGCTGTAAATCGTCACAAGTTTTTCATTCCATTGATGCTGTGACCATCTGTCTATCGGACGATCTTCTTTTTGGTGTAATTTAATTGTTTTGGACAGGAGTAAAACGTGAACGTTAAAAATATTTGTAGTAATTAACGTTATCGATACAATAAAGATATTTTAACTTAACAACTATGGCAATCGACAAAAGTTTTATAAATGTTGTGGTCTTAAGTTTTGGTTTCATGATGGTGTTTGCGGCCTTTCAAACCATGAGTAATATCGAGGTGAGTTTATCACGTGACCGTTATATTTGCGATGTTCGATTTTCTATTGTGCGCTAATACGTTGTTTTTACGATAATATATAGGCATTCATTGAAAAAATGTATCTTATGTTTAATTAGAACTATTTCGCCGTATTAACTTTATCAATTTTAATATTTGATACTTTACCTTTTCCGTTCATTTTATATTACTTTCAAAAACGTAATATTTTTAATAAAGTAGTCCTGCTCGATATTGAAATGATTGTGAAATATTAAAGCTGTAACGAATAATTCATTTTTATGAGGCTAAAATATCGAACCACCTGTTGAACATTGTAGAATGAAGTAATAATTATTACGTGTTTCAAAGTGTATTTTATCATTGTCGTAGATAAATGTACTCAATTTATTGAAAAAAGTTTTATTTTGATAACAAAAAATATAAAAGAAAATGCGTTTTCAAGAAGCTTTAAATCGTTTTTTTATTAAATAACGAAGTCGTATACTTTACATAAGAATTACGCTCATATATTCGTATTTATTACATAAATGTATGTATGTATATAAATTTACTTGTTATGTAAAATGCTAACAATAATAATAATAATAATTAATGTCAACAATCACGTGCAAATTTTTGAAGATTTCCACTTTGGCGAAGAGCTTGTTATAATTTTTTTTTCAAGATTATTGTATTTTACAATCGAAAGTTAATTATCGGCTCTTCAAAAGTTTATTATTTTATTTGAGAGCGTATTATAAATGTAATTTTTTTAATGTTATCTTTCACGAATTACAAAAAATAATTAATATCGTTTGAGTTATCTAATGATCAAGGCAATAATAGATCCGATTCTGAGTATCTCGAGAAAAGAATTTAGAACACTTTGAAATGCTTTCTGAATGATCTCTTCACAAACATTTTAAATAAAGAGAGTAATCGTATTCGTTAAACCAAATAAATCAAAGAACCAATCGAATAGATTCCGACAGACTTGAACGCCATAAGATTTAATTAATAATAAAAATATAATGGAGGTCGCAAATTTTTATGGATTTTGTAGTGACCAGAGGTTGTTGTCATAGTTCAATAAATTCGTTCTATTAAAAGTCAAGATCGCTTTCACTTTGGATGAATAATTATAGTGAAATGTTTTATAAGTATGTTATAATAGTGATGCGAAGTAAAAAATGTTGACGAACATTTTTACAATTATGCTTTCACACTTTGTATTTAATTCACACACACACACACACACACACACACACACACAGAGAGAGAGAGAGAGAGAGAGAGAGAGAGAGAGAGAGAGAGAGAGAGAGAGAGAGAGAGAGAGAGACGCGTGCGCGCGTATTAACAAGAATACCAAACGGTGAAAGGCAGCTAAATAAACGTATACATAGAATGTTAACATATTGCGTACGGGTAACGAGATATCTTATTTTCATATTTTTTCGACTGAATCGATAACTTAAGCAACCAGAGATAAATGTTTTTGTTACGTTACCAGGGTAATGAAGACTTGCGCGTTCTTATGACAAATGATTAGCGAAATAACTGAATGTTGACATTCCGAAAATGCAAAAATAATCAGTCAGTATAACCAATATATACCTATATTTTCAAAATTAATAAGTAGGAACAGGTTTGAATAGGTTATAAGATATTTATATTTTAACGATAACATGAAAATGAATGAAAATA